ATTACTATATATAATATTAGTGTTTTTCTACATGTGGCTGTGCAGCAGCTTCAACGTTGATGAAAGGTCAAAGGTCAGATGAATAAAAACAGCACCAACCGCAGTGTTTTTGGTACATTGACTGTATTTTTTTATTCCAAACGTGTGTCTATATATTGAACACCAGAGGGCCGGTCCCCTCCTACAGTCACCCCACACGTCAATATCAATAATAATGATAACAATATCAGAATAATATCCGTCTGTGGTCTCCGTCCTACCGATGAGCTGCTGGTTCGAATCTGAGGGAGGAGCAGAAATAAAACCGCAGACGATGTGATGAACATCATTCACACACACACACACACTTAAAGTCACATTACATCGACATTCCTGTGCGCTTTTACTCATTTTCATGAACTATTTCTTCGTCTCGGACGCTGCTGGCTCATTTTTTAACAGTTTCTATGCAAAAAACCCCCAAAATAAAGAAAGAAACAGAAACAACAGGCACTGCTCTTCAAACAATGTCCTCAGAAGTCAATAAAAAATGTGCAGATTTACATTTTGCTCCTTGCGGCCGGCGCCCTGCAGGCGGGAGGGGGGGGGGACGACTGTAAAGCAATCACACATGGAATTGTCAATCGATACCAGCACTTTGATTTGTCGGCGTATGGATGATGGACAGGTGAGTTCTGAACTCCGACATCGATTTTAAAAAGACTTGAGGTTACCGCGAGAAAACAGGAAATAAAATGTACAAAATAGAAAAGAAAAGAAAAACAAGCAAACTGGACACGAAAGACAGGAAGGAAATTACAATCACAAATTTAGTTATTTTCTTTTCGTCCTTTAAGTTCACCTGTGAGTGTGTGTGTGTGTGTGTGTGAGCAGCCTGCACTTTAAATATACACAACTGTACTGAGGTTAGTTCCTCTCCTTTTAGGGACTGTATGAAAATTACATTTTAATAATAATTATACAGAAGTATTGAATTGCTACAATGTGTTTCAACAAAAAAAATATATAAACAAAAGTCCAGGTGAAATTAAAAATGTCACTTTAATCCTTTAAGATCACATCCTCAGTTATATTGTTCCCATATTTAACAACTTAAGCCAAAAACATTCACAAAAACTCCTGTAGAACTAAATGTGACATGTGCTTACGTCAGCATGAACTAACTAATATTCTGACATTCACCCGTCAATCAATC